CCTGCACAGTACGCAGCTGCAATTTCACCCGACGAATGTCCAACCACAGCACGGGGGATGATACCCCATGTGCGAAGTAGATCGACGAGCGCCACCTGAATAGCTGTACAGAGAGGTTGTGACAGCGCTGGCTTGGACACCTGACTCGTGTCCTCGTTCTTCTCGAGCTCCTCTAGCACAGACCAGGTGCTACCGAGAGTAGCAAGATACGCGTCGCAGACCTGGAGACTCTGACGAAAGACGGGATAATGCAGGAGACCGGCCGCCATACGGGAATACTGTGCGCCTTGCCCTGTGAACACGAAGGACAAGTCAGGGGCCGAGGAAGTACTGCTGAAGATGCTGGGCGAGACGATAGTGGTGAGATCGTCGGTAGGGGATGAGATGACGGCGTAAGACCGGAATTGGAGAAGAGATCGGTGAGAGGATAGGGTATGTGTTAGATTTGAGAGGAAGTTCGCGGTGGTGGGGGCTTCGTTTGAAGAGAGAAACGTCTGGAGGGCTTCTGCTTGGCGCTTCGTGCCGTCGCTGTCTGCAGCTGAGAAGGGGATGATGGCGTATGGAGTTGTGAACGGGAGAACGCCGTCGCCATTACCGTTCCTGTGTCCATTTTTGTGGCCGTTGGTATGTATGGACTCTCCGACAGATTGGTGCAAACCTTGAAGGCCGTGGGTGCGCAGGTAGTTGTATGCGTCGTCGAGGATGACATGGGCGTTGCTACCTCCATAACCGAAGGAGGAGACGGAAGCCCTGCGAATTTCTGTTGCTGGCCATGGGACTGCTTCTCTTGGGAATGCGAGCTGCAGGCCAGTTACATCGATAGCAGGATTCGGCTTCTCGAACATGGCAATTGGCGGAATCGCCGCATTCTCCAGCGCGAGAACTGCTTTGATGACACCAGCCATACCCGAAGCGCCCTCCAAATGACCGATATTCGCTTTCACAGATCCCATGTAAAGCGGTCTGTCCGCCTTACGACCATCGCGGAAAGCCTGCCCTACAGCTCCCGCCTCAACAGGATCACCAACCGGTGTGCCAGTCCCATGAGCTTCAGCGTAGTCGGTATCAGCAACATCGAGCCCTGCAACACGATACGTATCCCGCAGCAAATCCAGCTGTGCCTGCTGGCTCGGCTGTGTGATACTCGGCGTCCTTCCATCCTGATTCGCACCTGTCGCCCTAATGACCGCCCTGACAACGTCGCCATCCCTCAGCGCCGCATCCAGCGGCTTCAGCAAGACGAAGCCAAAACCCTCGCCCCTCGCGTAGCCATTCGCCTTGGCATCAAAACTATAGCTCTTTCCATCCACGCTCAGAAACCCGCCGTTACTGAGTGCAAGCGCCTGGCTCTCGGGTGTGATGAATGTGTTTGCGCCGCAGACAAGCGACATCTTGCTCTCTCCCGCAAGAATACTTTGCGCACCAAGATGCAGCGCGTACAACCCTGATGAACACGCCGTATCGACCGTCAAACTCGGCCCTGCGAGATCGAAGAAATGACTAATGCGGTTACTCAGCATTGACGACCCGTTCGCTGTGGCATGATACCGGGACTGTGCACTAAAGTCTCGACCTGTTATTGTCTCGCCGTCGCGGGAGAAGGAGGCGCAGTAGACAGATGTGGAAGAGCGAGAGAGTGTTCCCATCGGTATTCCGGCGTTTTCAAATGTGCGGTAGGCGCCTTCGAGGAGGCCGCGTTGTTGCGGGTCGAGAACCGAGGCTTCGGCGTAGGACATGTTGAAGAAGGGGGCGTCGAAACTGCGGGGGTCTTCTTCCATGAAATGGGCGTGTCGGATGCGTAGGCTGTCTAGACGATTTGGGTCGGGGTGGTAAAATGCTGTTGGTTCAAGTTAGCTTGGGATCATTTTTGCTTCCGTAGGGGGGATGGTTGCATACCATCTATATTGAAGCGGTCGGCGGGTATCTCTTTAGACACATTTCGAGCACTCATTATCAAATCCCAAAAGGAGGAGGCGGATACAGCGTCGCCTGGGAACTTCATGTTCATGCCGATGATGGCTATGGGTGTTGTCTTATCGGTAGTAGCCATGATTGCGGTATCTGGTGTGGTATTCAAGCTTAACGAATACAAGCTTTTCAACGTCCTGTAACCTTCTTGCCAAGCGTAGATGTTCCTAGGCTTAACGATAAAGTTCGTGGAAGATTATCTGGGATGGTCGGAAAGTACAGTTCAAGTCTGGGAATTCGATATGCAGAAGCTCGTTTCGTTGAAAAGACAGTGACCAAGCTTTGCTAAATACAACAAGCATCTCGCCGAAAACCGCTTCCATCATAGTCATGACCCATGAGTACCTTCCTTGTGTCAAAGGATCAGAGTAGCTACCATGGTGTCAGGCACATTACTGTATGTGGAGACGCTAAACCGGTCAGTACCGCATGCGATTGTACCCACCTCGGTGGCTGTTGAACCGGCCGGACTCTGTGAATTGTGGCTAGGGGGTAATCCGGTGGCTAGGTATTACTCCGGTGGTTAGGCCATAGCTCGGTGGCTTTACGTATGATACGAGTACGATTCAGGGACCGTTTTGACCCACAAATGCAAACACCTCACCTTCGAGGGCTCACCGCTGCCACTAAAGTCCTCCAGAGAGTAACGTGTTCTGATGATGGATCACAAACAGTATCTCCGAATCTCAACACAACGCAGTCGACATGTCTTTGTGGGACCGAATCAACAGTCGCCTCACCTTCCAAAGCGGTATAGGCTTCATGTACCGCCAACTGTTCATGCATCCTCCGCCAATCGCAGCAGGAGTCACTCTTGAAGGTCAGACAGCCATTATCACCGGCGCGAATACCGGCCTGGGGTTCGAGGCAGCGCGACAGCTCCTCCAGCTAGATCTCTCTCGGCTCATTTTAGCCGTCCGATCGCAGGCCAAAGGCGACGTTGCAGCAGAAGCCCTCCGCAGGGAGTTTATACGCGCTGAAGTCGAAGTCTGGATCCTAGATATGGAAGATCCCGAACCTGTCGCGGCGTTTGCCAGACGATGTCAGACTCTGGCTAGGCTGGACATGGTCGTTTTGAACGCCGGTGTGCAGAACAAGGACTATGTTGTCTCTCCCAAGACAGGCAAAGAGCAGACTTTCCAGGTCAACTACCTCTCGACTATCATGTTGGCTGTGCTTCTCCTGCCGATATTGCGAGCCAAAACCGGGTTGGTGGGACGGCCGGCGAGGCTCACAGTTGTAACGTCGACGACGGCATATTTTGCGGATTTCGACCAAGAAAAACCAATCTTGCCGCAGTTCGACGAGAAGTATGATGTTACGAAATGGTATGCGCGCGAGAAGTTGTTACAGATGATTTTTGTGAGGAGGCTGGCATCGCTTGTGAACTCCGATGAGGTGATTGTCAACACAGTTTGTCCTGGGCTGGTAGGAGAAACGGAGATCTGGCGTACATTGAACGCAAATGCTGTCATGAGGTATATGTTGATAGTGTACTTCGCTTTGTTTGGTAGAAGTTTGGCGGAGGGTGCCAGTACGTATGTTCATGCTGTAGTAGTGGCAGGCCGAGAAAGCCATGGGGGTTTCTTGAGTGAGTGGGGAGTACGTCCGTAAGTCGAGAAACTGCAACGATGCACTCTGACTGAGGTTTTTGCTGACACTGTTGTAGTTATCCCGTTCTGATGTATTCGAGACGTGGTGACGATCTGGAAAAGAAGGTTCTGAGCGAGACCAGGCAGATGTTGGAATCCATGGACGTTTCGCACAGCGCAATGCAAGACTTTTAGTTGGGAGGGTCAGATTAAACTGCCATATCGCAGTGCTAAAGATATTGACGTCATCAAAACGCAGGCAGCTCTTTCCGCATCAAGTTTCTTACTAGTGAAGTTGACCTGGTTTAAGACACTTCATATAGCTGCAACCTAGCCCGTAACATAGGTGGTAGCTGCGTTCGAAGAATTGGAGAAGAGAAAGGTTGTTGTTCGCGACGCGGCGAGACGCGACAGATGGCGGGACGAGATCCATGCCAAGCCCTCGGAGCCTCGGCTCCTGCCTCCGAGGTTTCTGCCTCCCGCCTGCCCATGGGCAGAGAACACCTGAGCTTCATCATCATTGCAACCTCAGCTGTTCCCACACTACATCTTTACTCCGGATCTAACCTCTCTCGTCTGAGGATAAGCCTCACGTTCAAAGGCGGTTGCACGTAAGATGCGCGCACGCGTTGATCGTGCCATGGTTGTTCAAGCCACTCGCGGTCCGCAAGCTCAATATCGTACTTCCACAGCAGCCGGGTCAATATCTGCTTTATCTCGGAATGTGCCAAACTAGTCACGAATTCTCAGTCAGCGAAATCTTTCGTATTCATACCTGAGACAGGACGTGGCGTACTTCTGACCGACACAGCTGCGTTTTCCTGTCGAGAAGGGCTGGAATGCCGCTCTCTTATCCGCTTCAAAGCGAGGATCTCCGAGCCAGCGCTCTGGGGCGAAAACTTCTGGTTCCGTGAAGTTGGCTGGGTTATGATACATCGCCCAGTGCCAAATGTCCACGCATGTCTAGGTTTTTCCCATTGCAATCAGCGATGTGCTCAGAAGTCCGCAGAAGGATTTGCGGGGATGCTCTTGAGACTTACCCCTCCAGGCAGAAAGTGCCCCCCGACGACCTCGCCATTGCACTGAATCAGTCGTGGCACTGAGCCCACGGCAGCCGGATGAATACGCAAGGTCTCGTCTATGACAGCCGAGAGGTATCTGAGACGCTGCGCACTGAGGAGTGTGATCTCTTCTTCGCTATCGAAAGATGCGTCGATCTCTTTCCTTAGATTAGCGAGCGTCTCAGGGTGGGTGCAAAGGAGATAAGTTGCCCCAGCAAGTCTGACACAAGAGATGGTCAGTACATTGGTACTTCCAAATGAAATGGACAAAAGAGGAAAGGTTCGTCATACGCAACTGCAGTTGTTTCGGACCCGGCCACGACGAAGATGCTCGCGTTGTGGCAGATTGCCTCGAAGGAAAGGCCCTATCGCCCAGCCGTTAGATCCTTGAGCGGGATTGGGACCAAGAGAGCATTGTGGATGCACTCACGCATCTTCCCTGAGCATTGTCGGATTTCATCTCTTCAATGAAGTCCGGCCGGCTAGGCTCCAAAGCTAAACGCTTCGCAACTTGAGTACGCATGAACAGATTATGCTTCGCAATGATCTTCTTGGCAAACATTCTAACAAACGGGCTTATCATCGCCTCCAACAACGGATACGCCCGCCGGAAGTGTGCCATGTCATGCTGCGCAACGAAGAACTCCAATATTGTCGCAACCCATGGATGAAACTCCCTCCGCTCCATATTCGCAAAAGGCTCGCCGAAGCTGAGATCGCCAATGACATCAAACGAGAAGAAGTTGAACCACTTGGCTAGGTCCAGGGGTTGACCTTCGGCGCAGTGCTCCCCAAAATAGCTGAAGAGTTGGTCGATATGGTGGCGGATGATATGCTCCTGGCGCTGTATGCCTTGCCCAGAGAACGCGGGCGCTAGCAGACGACGTTGATGCGTGTGAGATTCTGTGTCGGCCCCGATGATGCCTGAGGCGACTTCGGCTACGAAGCCTGGGTGCTTGAGGTTCTCTGGTTGACCGGGCTTACGATGCCCGTACACTTCTTTCCATGCTGTTGCGTGGAGGCATGACACTGAGTCTGGGCTTGTGCGGACAACGTCGCCGTACCTCTTGTGCAAGGCCAGGATCTGTTTGTGCGGCGTGCTCGACCATGACATCAACAGGAGTGGGAGTGGCGATACAGACCACAGGAACGGGCCGGGCACTTTCTTAAGTGGGTTAAAGTATAGATTGTATACAACGGACCATAAGGTATGCCCAAAGACCTGTAGCGTACGTCAGTGGAGGTATCCTACGTGTCATTCCTCCGGGGTTAATACGGCGCATAGGGCGACTTCTAACAATACCCAGAATGAGAGGAGCTCCTGATGGTCAGTGAGTGCATCAAGAGGCCATGTATAAGCGGAGCCCATTGTGCGCAAAATGAAGAAAGCTTGTTGTCGAAGCTCTTTCGCAGTGTATACGAATACAAAATACGGGTTGTGGCAGCATCCCATGCACTGGAGAAGGTGATTGCCGAGTTCGATAGCTCAACACGCGCAGTTGCGAAGTCAACTATGGAAGACGATTGCACCGAGCCTTACATTGCATGCCGTCTCAATGCTTCCCATAGCGGCTAAGTCATGGTCTTCAGCCAGGATCATGCATCTGCGGCGGAGTAGTGCAATGTTCCCACCCACGCTTCGTGGGCCCTTCGACTCAGTGCCGACTACAGATATCCGGTCGCCGTTGTTGCACGTCAGCCAGCACCTAGGGTACCCACAGAGGAGCCGACGCGGCCGACGGACGAGTTGGTCACAGAATCCAGATCAACCATGGCGGTGTGAGGCTAGGGCCGAGGAACGTTCCGACAACAGCAACTAGCAGTTTATGTACGATGATACACGCTCGGTAGATTCCTAGTTGCATTCTACGGCAACAGTGACAGAGGCGTAGGGAACGGCCCGAGCATGTCTGCAGTTTGCACTAGTACGCTTTGGGATTTCGGTCTCTGTGCGCACGGACGCGACATCTGGACACCCTCCAGCTAGATCGGCGGTGGCTGGGGTATCATCTCAACCACCGCCGACTCTGTCTTTCCATGCCTCACCACCGACGCGATCATCAGCCCCGCCTTCGCAGCAAGCTCGGCAAACGCCTTCTCACTGCGCACCTTTCCGCCGATGTTCAAGATGAACATGTCGACGGTGCTAGTGTATACACTTGGCTGTTCAGGGCGCAGATACTCAGCAATCAACACGCGCGAGTCGTCCGCGCAAGCCGCGCGCACGTTCTTCAGAATCTGAAGAGCTTCGTGGTCGGACCAGTCGTTCAGGACGCGACGTATGTAATACACGAGAGCACCTAGAGTGGTCCGTCAGCTTGTTTCCTGGCGCAAGTATCGTGTATCCTGAGAGGATAGAACTCGATTTCCGTACCTTTGGTGGGCTGTTCTCCAAAGATGCTGTGCCCAATCTTCTTCACCGGACCCAAAACAGCAGAATCTTTGTGCTCTTCCTCCGCCTCAGCGATGACATGCGGCTGATCCTGCAGGACACACCTGGCGGCAGGAATGGCAGGTGTCTCCTCCAAGATAGCCTTCAACGCCTGACCTTTCCCTCCGGCAACATCAACGATCAGCTCCCTCTCCGAACCGACGTTTCCCGCGGCAAATGCAGCTACCCAGCCAAAATCATACACCCCCGTAACAGGAATATCACCGTCAATGGCCATCGCCCCATTCATCCTTGTGGCCAACCCCGGGATCGCCGCCATGATTTCATACGCTGTCTTATCGGGCATGCCCAGCGCAAATCCTCCCGGCGAACGATTCGATCTAGCCGGCTCAGCGAGCCCGTTCGCCTCGAAGTAGTCTGTCCACCGCGTCGTTGGCCCCATAAAGAAGTCGAAGAGGTACGAATAGAATTGCGCGACGCGGGGGTCAGTGAATGCTTTTGACGCCGGTGTATGCGCCACACGGCCAGGTTCCGGGCTAGTCAGCATGCCAATAGCGAGAAAGAAGGCCGTGAAGCGCTCCAGAAGTTTGTACTCTATGCTCAGCTTTTCCGTAAGGTCTTTGAGAGAGATACCTTCTTCTGGAATGGCGTCGAAGATGCCGTGCTCAACGAAGACGCGCAATACGCCCATCTCCGCCATGGATGCGAAGTATTTGCCGATTGGCGTCTCGGCCAGAGAGAATTCGGCAGCCATGTTTGGATACTGGATGAATGAGAAGCAACACTGAACGGAACGCGATGGTTGGTCACCAGAATCCACGATTGTGCGAAGACGTCGAATAAAGCTACAGAGCCAAGAGATCGTGCACGATAAGCAAGAGTCCTGGTCCTGCGAATTAGGTTTGTGTGGAATGCCTGTACTGGTAACGCCTCATTCCCGTCATGCGAGTGACCGCACTCGACATTACAGTAGCCCAGCTAGGTTTCCTGGTATCGTACCAAAATGAAACACGAATCAGAAGCCCACGAGATTAACCATGGGAATTCTGCCGAGCTCTCGACTAGACATGGGCCCATGCCCCAAGCAGCCGAAAAGGCCCTTCTTCGTACCGGCAGTACCCGTTCTAGCTCGATTCACCGCAACAAGTCTCCCACGTGTTCTCGACACGTATCAGAACTCCTGCATGCAGTTGTGTGTACCTGGGAAGAATTGTAGCGGTCTAGAGGGTTGAGACGCAACCAACGTCACTTGGGAGTATCCCGTCCGACTGGTATCGCCTTCACGACAAATTTGGCACAAGCAAGAAACTGAAAACACTGGAACGTCAACCTGGCGTCCATGCTTCAATACACCTTTTAATCGAGTGTTGACATCTAGTACGCGATCATCGAACTACTGGTGACAGCACTCGTTTTCCCAAACGCGTCTCTCACAAGCTCCTGTACCCAGCTCGGCAACCCTTTCAACCATGAGATAGGCGCCGCGATACTAGGAATGAACAACTGAGCACCACGCCTGCTAATGATCTGCCTCACTATGACCTCAGCAACTTCCTCTGGCATTAACATCTTCTCGAAAATCTTTGGGTCTTGGCCACTTCTCAAGATCATCTCCTCAATCAGGGGCGTGCGGACCCAACTCGGATGCGCGATCGTAGTCTTGACACCCGAAGCTTTGTACCAGATTTTCAGCTCGCTCGTAAGACCCTCATGGAACGCCAAAGCCGCGGTCTTGGTTGCCACATAGTCCGCATTAGCCGAGTTCGTCAGGAATGAGTTGACGCTCGCGACTGTTACGATATGGCCTTTGTTCTTTGCGACCATGTCCGGCACAAACTGTTGAACTAGCCGCCAGTGGGAAAGAATGTTCGTGTCGAAGATACGACTGAGGAATTCGCTTGGCGTTTTCAAAATGGTGTGAGAACCCGTGATGCCGGCGTTGTTGACGAGAATCGAGGGACTGCCAAGGTCTTTGCGAATCTTCTCGGCTGTTTTTTCTATCGATTCAGGGCTGGAAATGTCGCACCGGAAGTATGTCGACAAGTTGTTCGATGCGGATACCTTGGGCGCATCCTGCACGTCGAGCACTGCCACGCGAATTCCGTGAGAATTGAGAGATTCTGCGATGGCTTTGCCAATTCCACTGCATCCTCCAGTGACGACTGCGATTTCAGTGGGCCAGTACCAGCCACGACCGGCATATATTTGCCAGTTGTTTGTTGCCCACGCGTTCAGAGCTGCATTGGTCTTCCTGACTATACCGATAGCAGCTAGAAACCCCAGTACGCGGAGCAAGTTGTATTCATCGACGATATGCGAAAGGGATGTTGCTTCCAAGGCGCATCTCCATGTCTTCTCTGGGGCGTATAGCAATAAGCCAAGTAGAGGGCCGGTAACGATGGGCTCGAAGGCGCATTTGGCGATGAGAGCTAGCCCTCTGAGAGGGAAGTCGACCAGTGCAGGCATTGATGGCCCAGCAGTTGTTCCGGGAGATAGAAATGGTTACCACAATACTGACATCCTCAACCATTTGGAGCTAGAGTGTTACGACCTGAGCCGGAGGCTAGTACAAAAGTACTGTGGTTAGGGCACGGTCGACTGGCTTCATGGAGCTTGCCGTTGCACGGCAAAACGCTTGCTGCAACGTTTATGTATAGCCCTATCCGAAGTCGCTCCGTTAGCTCATCCGCAGTACCCCCAGATCAGCCTATCCGAAGTCATGCCGATCCGCTGTCACCCCGAATCGACGCACCTGGAGTCCCACCCAAGCGGCTTCATGTTTAATCTAGCCATGGTGAACGACTTTGACTAATCAGTACCCTGTTGATCGTGGTCCAGTCCGTTGGTTCCCTTCAAGTTCCTAGCGAGTCTAGCGCTGGAGTCGAACTGGATGAGCACATACATCATGTGCCGGTCCTTGTACATCTAGAGGAAGACGTTGCGTCCTATATTCATCAAGACTTTCATCTGGCCAGTAACCAACCACGAAGATGGGCGTTCTAACTACTATAGAGGGCGATATCTCAAAGTTGCTGTTGTACGGCGCAGTAACGATTGTCTTCCTTATTATTCTAGCCTCAAAATTGAAAGATGGCAACAAGACGAGATCATCGATCCCGCATGCTCCTCGCCTCCCGTACAGATTACCCTTTGGTTAGCAGTATTCGCGTCACTTAAATATGACGGTAAGACTGACCACCCCATGAACTACAGGACTAGACATGGCATGGAACCTAATAACGCGCCTTCACTCCAACACCTTCGTTGAATACATCTGCGACGAAGTCCTCTCCATACCGGGCCGCACAGTCGAAATGAACTTACTAGGCAGCGACATTTTCATTACCGACCGAGCCGAGAACATCAAGGCTATCCAGGCAGATCAGTTTACGGACTTCGCCAAAGGTCAGACGCCACATGATGTGTTCAGTAGTATCTTGGGAGACTCGGTGTTTACCACGGACGGGCCTTTGTGGAAGACGAGTAGGGAGCAGTTGGAGCCGCACGTGTCGAGAGTGCGCCCGGATGATATTCCTACCGCTGAAGTCCACATGCAGGAGCTTTTGAGATTGATCGAGAGCTCACCAGAAAGGGTGGATGTGTACGACATGGTTGACAGGTTCCAACTCGACCTAGTCTCCCAAGTCTTCCTCGGCGAATCCACAAACTCCCTCTCCGCAGACGAGCAGCCCTTTCGCAAAGCCATGGAAGAACTCCTTACGTTCAATACGAATCGTCTCCTTTTCGGACGTCTCGCAAACCTCTTTCCCGACTGGCTCTTTGCACCAAGAGCATACCGCGACCTAACACACTACATCGATGATCTGATCGAAAAAACGCTAGCCCTCCCAGTCAACAACCAAACCGATGTGAAAACAGAAAAGGAGTTCAACCTAGTCGAAGATCTTGTCTCTACTCATCCAAGTGATCGTTATTTCATCCGCGGTCAGCTCATTGCCGTCCTGATGGCATCCAAAGACCCCGGTGCTATTTTGACGACTTGGACGATATACCACCTCGCCCGAGACCCAGTGTTGTGGAAGAAACTACAGAGGGAGGTGGAAGAGCAGTAAGTGCAACATCTGTTTCCACGGCAGCATGAAAGACAGGGACATACCACTAACCGACATCGTTTCCACAGCATCGGTCTGGACACCCTCCCCACGACCTCCCAACTCCGCAAACTCGACCTCCTCGCCAACACCGTCAAAGAATCGATGCGCATGTACCACCCCCTCGGTCTCAATATCCGCGAAGCCCGCACTGACGCCATCCTACCCGTCGGCGGCGGTCTAGAAGGCAAAGAACCTATTTCCGTTGCGAAAGGCCAAATCATCGTATACTCAGTTGCAGGTCTACAACGCAACCCCACTTTATACGGCCCCACGGCACACATCTGGGACCCATCGCGCTGGGAGTCCTGGTCACCTAAATATGGAACTTACTTGCCCTTTAGCATTGGCCCGAGACAGTGTCCTGGGAGAGTGTTCGGCAGGTTTCAGATTCAGTATGTGCTCGTTCGGTTGCTGCAGGAGTTCGAGGGGATAGAGTGGTGTGGTCTTGGTGGTGGGAAGAATGGATCAGAGGAGATGAAGATCAAGGTTGAGCTTAACCTTAAGTGTGCAGAACCCGTGATATGTAGATTTGTGCCGAGAGAGAAGGGCGTTGTCGGATAGTGAGGATGCATCGGAGACCAGTGGTATGTCGACACTCACCACTGGTAGCCATTCGGCTTGCACAGCGTTGCCCTCGCTGAACGACTGCACGTCAGACGAGGTGCTTATCTAGCTCCTGTATATAGAAGGCGCACTTTGCTGGACCCCAGATCTACCGCCGCTGACATCTTGTTACGCCAAAACACCTTGTGTTGTACATACCACCATGCGCAAAACAGATGATCTCTGTTGGGCGAATTGAAGTCACAGCCCGCTCTAATAACAGATGTGGAGGACAGGGCCATGTTCCAATGACCGATGACCGAGCTGACTCCGCCCCACAGCGCTGCTTACGGCTGCGCCCCATAGGATGTTACCAGTCCGCACATCGCCTTGGTATCACCAGTTGGTGCGCAAGGCGACTCCGTCTCTTATGCGCTGACGACTTTCAGATAAGACAACATGCTACCGCCTCGGCGAACTATCACCATCAATCAATTCCACCCGTGTATGGGGGCCAAAAGTTACACTTCGACAGCACCACTACTAGCACTCCAAAGTCATCTCAACGATATCCAGGCGGAGGAAAAAAGGCGAAGTTCTCTAACGCACGCCGTTGTAGTGGGCAGGTTTTGTCACCAAAGAAATGGTACGATTCAAAGCGCTCAGATTCCGCCCGTCAACGCTAGTCCCAAAACAAAAGGACGGCACACAATCCCGTCAAAGCTGGTACCCTCCCGCGCTACGATGGTGGACCCTCGCCACAACTGCATTACTCTGCTGGACCTTTATTGCTGTTCTCCAATACCATCTTCGGAGAAGCCAGACTCAAGGTGGGGTGATTTTCGCCACAACGGTGAACTCACTTCCCTCACGCCGCTCATTCTGGTACCTCTATCTGCCAACGATCATTGCTGTAACTTTCAGCATCCTCATTATCTGGATCGACCACGATGCTAAGCGTTCCGAGCCCTATCGGCACATGGCACAGCCATGTGGAGCGTCAGCGGCAAATTCCATTCTATTGCACTATCCTTTTGACTACATCCCGATTGTACCTATAATAGCAGCTAAAAAGAGGTGAGTCCCACACCACACTTCATAAAGAACGCAAAAGTGTTGACGAAGTATGTATAGGCATTGGCTTGTGTTCTGGGCCTCATTAGCAACCGTTCTTACTACATTCGGCGTTGTACCATTACAAGCAGGTATATTCTCGACACGGCCGATCACCAGTGATTTCGTGCAGAATTTCGACACATCGAATGATTTTATACACTCCTCAATGCAAGAGCAGGCTGTGACCTTGAGCTATGCGCAATCCGTATATGGCATCTTGGAGTTGAACGAAACAATGCCAGCCTTTACCACTCGCAACTATACCCTACGACCTTTCACTACTCAAGGTCTCATACCTAGTGCTCGCGACTCTTGGACAGCACGTACTATCATGTATAGTATGGGTCTTGAATGCGAAAAGGCGCAAAAAGCAGGAGTAAGAAACCAAACCTGGTTAGAAGAGGGGCTTGTGCAGGTTGGACCAGGGACTAACGTTCTACGCAACATGACATGGTCTTTTTCAAGCGAAGCCGGCTTCAATAATTCTGTTGGCTGTTACGTGTCTTCGCCACAACAAAACGGCGCCGTAGTTGGAGACATCATAAGCCGGCAGCAGTGGATTCGATTCAAGAAGTTCTCTGCGTCGTATATGGGCTATTTCTCTCCAGTTCATGCAGCATCTTCGATCGGAATAGAATCTCTCCAAGACCAGCGGTGGTGTCGATTTCGAGGAAACGGGACCTTCTTTGCGACATTCACCCAAAACAAAGAAAGGAAGCAGGATCCGCTCAGCGACATTACGGCCATATTTTGTAGGCCGGGATACTATGAGCAGGATGTTGAGGCAACTGTGGACGCGACAACTGGGAAACCTCAAAACATTAGTCTTCTCAACGCAAGGCGCAAGATTTCCGCAGAGGCTTTCAACACTACCGTCTTCGAGGAAACACTCGCCTCTGGTACTCGCTTGCTTCAGACAAGACAAGACAATTTGCCTATGAGCACCTTGCCTCGGTACCTCGAAAACTTGTACAATACAGACTTGACACCATCTACAGCTTCGCCTATGATGACAACCGTTATGTCCGTATCAAAAGATCGTTTGCCAGAGCTACTGGACTCGGAAAAGCTAGCAAGCGCATATGAGATTGTGTATCAACTTTTCTTCGCTCGTGCGATGGCTGACATCCTCAACCCCAATGTTTCTACGCCAACTGGTACGAAATCGCTAGGGTCGTTCCGGACGCAAATGGAAGCAGTAGTACTTGAACCCATCTTCACGTACATGGTTGAGGGGTTTCTTGCCGTGATCTCAATTGCAGCGATAGCTCTCATTTGTATCGGGTACGTGGGGCAGAAAAAAAGAGCACTGATTGACGACCCTGGTAAGCATGACACCTATCGTATTCATAGCCTCTTACTCATGTTCAGCTTCTTTGGCTTCTATCATGTCGATGATGGCAGACAATGTCGATCTACTTGCCAGATTTGGAGATCTGGATTGTGCGTCAACGCAATATTTCAATCAAAAGCTCCATGCGAGCGGATTCAAACTCGAAAAAGATCATGGGTCAGTACTCGGAGCATCTCACAGCGTACACAACTCACATATTCCAGCATAAGAAATGTAGCTCTCAGCTCGGAGCTGCAACAGCCCTTACTCAAAACCAACGAACCACGATTATCAAAGCCCATGAGACCTATGGAGTTCCGTTTGGTCACTGGAGTTCCTTTCATCAGCCTTTTTGTGGC